ATTCGTATCTGTGACAACAAAGTTGTAGTTGTGAAGAAAGTGCGTAATATTTCGATATTTTTTTAATTGGTGCTTTTGTTATTCATATGTGTTTTTGCATATCATACTTTAGGGTTCAAAATATTTTTCAGATTCATTATATATATATACTCATAAATAATAACCCATATTAATAAATAAGAATAACTTTCAAGAACGCAAATGATCAGTTGATAATACTTCGGTTTGATTTCATTATTCATATGAGAATATCACGCATTTTAAAAGTATATCACGCATTACTAACAGTATCATCAACTAGAGTAGGTGCCGAAAGAGCGTTTTCGAAGCGTAGCTAGGAATTTTGTGGCAGAATATTACCTTGCAGGTTTAATAATAGCACAATTGATGCATTATATTTTTAAGGTCACATTTCAAAATTTTCTAATAGTACCACAGACCGAATAGTGATACTTACACTTTTTTGTGATTTAAATATATAAGATGTTCCTTTACTTTTTGTGATTTTTTGTATACCGTTATAATTTATAAGTTACAAATTATTTTTTGTGATATTTACACAATCTAATAAAACTGGCAAATAAAACAAAGAAACACTAGTGTTTTCTTTCTTTTTCTAAAAATTCTACTACGGTATTAAGTCCTAAAAATATCAAATACCGGTATTGCACTTTTGGTCCGAAAGTGCAATCCCTTATACATATATATGTATATACTTTTCAAAATGAGGCGTACACATTACAAAAAATCCGTAGCCAATTCAGCCTTTTCTGTGATATATTCGTGTTCAGCACGAATTTATTATGAGTTGATTATATTAATCTCGAGAGCAGAATTTATTTGAAAATTTAATGCCTAGTATTTTTATTCTATTTTCGTTTCTGACTTAAAGTACTTTACAAAAATATATTCAATATTTTTTTGCTTGGAGGGTGATTTTTTTATATTCTAGGAGATTTATGACTTTACAACAAATGCATGGAAAAATATATCTTACATATTTAGCATACAAAATCTACTTTGTATCGAATAAACATCTACTTCTAAACAAACTCATCGTTACAAAAGAAAGAAGGACAGAAAATCCATCAACCAATTGAAAACATTGCAACAGCAATTAACATTAAGCTTTTTGACCTGCATGCAACTGCTTTCATACTTCTTTAAAATCCTCATTCGTTTCTTAGTAAGTGCAGAAACTTGTTTTGTATTCATGAAAAACCACCTACTCAAGCTGGCACTAGTTTTGAAACTCAAATGTGTGACGTATGTAACGACTCTGGCTTAGCATATTTATAAAGTTATTTACTCAAAGTTATCATAGGTTGATAAGAGAAAAAAGTCGAAAATATTGATTTTAAAGAAAAAAAAATCATTGTTCTTCCTTTAAATTTCTTTTAGCTCAATCAATAAAAACTGCACAGACTTCAGTCGCCATAAATATAAGACAGAAAAAAAAGAGAAGAAAAAGTTATACGGATATATTTTTGTTCTTTTTATGGAAAGTAGATGAAACTTCAGAACAAAGTCAAAAGTCTGCGGCACCATGAAATCTGCTTCGGATTTGCTGTGTGAGAATATTTGGTGCATTAAGCTAGAGTGTATAAAATGAGACAAAAAAGAATGAAGAGAGTTGCGCTGTTTTATATGTTTTCATGGAAATTAGACTTCGAGAAAAGTTCTGAATCAAACTCCTGGTTGAAATATTCAACGAAATATTCGATATGGAGTTCCTGTATATTTTATAGTCTTTTACGGAAAATTGCATACATTTGAAGTTATATCTTAACTATGAGTTGAAAATAGAAGAAAGTTGTGAAAAATTTTAATACCTTTGACACAATCTTTTAAGAAAAACTTTTGACACAATCTTTTTAAGCGGTGAAAAGTGGCAGAAGCATTAATATTTATGACAAAGCATTTCAAAAGCTTATAAAAGCAGTAAAGTTCGAATTTGTTTCGTGTAAGGCGAATTTCAAACTTTTTAGAAAGGAACTTTAAAGCGATGAAATAAATTTTATTTTGTTCTAAGCAATTTTACCTTAAATCATAAAGAGGGCAACAATAAGGAACTAATAAATGAATTTTAGTTAATACATTTTGAAACATATACATCTTAACTTCGATATAAAGTTCCTCGAAGTAAACATAAGAATAGCATTCAGGACGAAGATGAAATTCTTTTAAATTTATTACATTGACAGAATATTTTCAAGGGAATAATATCCTTTTTTGCTCCATATTCAATGAAAAATAGATTGCTCAGGATTTTAATATGAAAAAGATAGTAAAATTGTATTTCCTTTTAAAACTCATAAAAATACTACAAACAAGAAGCGAAATCATGTATAAAAATCGTATTTTTTTCTTTCTTAACAGGAACATTCGATTTTATACATAAATATCATATTTATACAGATCTGGAATTCAAAATTTAATGTTAGAAACTAGGATTTAATATTTAAAAAAATACATAGAGAGTAACAATTGCAGTTCTCAACTAAAAGAGCTTTCGATTTCGTTTTCGTACTTAAAATTTACGTTTGCATAAATGTTTGATGTTGAACTGAAAATAGTTTGAATTTTTAAAACGATGAAGCCTGAGAATTTCAACGGTAACACGCTTACCGTTAAATCCGGCGTATAACACGCACTTTTCTTTTAAGCTGCAATTTTTAATTTTTCGGTACATTCGTCTTATAACGCGCATCCCCTTTTGTATGAAGAAACCTGAAATGTACATGCGCAATGCTCATATCTTTCGAAATCATCTATGACATGTATTATTTCAAGTTTTAGATAAAAATAGTATACTTTTAGAGCTACGACCCTTTAAGTACTTAAGGAATGCCATTTCTTTTAAATAAACAGAATTTCGATGTATGTAGCAGTCTAACTTTACCGTTCATTTTTCTTTTTTTTTAAAGCTCTCCTTTTTACTCTCGCAGTATAACGCTCACCCATAAATTTCAGTCTTATTTTTCAATTCCTACTATTAGTTCACACTCTCTATATATTTATTTATTTACTTATTTAGTTATTTTGGTGAGCTTTTCAATCGTTAATAAAACACATTTCTAGTTGAGCCTCTGTAGAGAGGTCTGAGGTATATACAGGCAAACTATTATTATAATGGAAGCATTTTTTACAAAAGGAGAACATTTTGAAAAAAGGTTATTCTAAGTTAATTTTTTGCCGAAATATTGTATTTAAATAATTTTTTTTTGTCAAAATGCCTTAAAACGATTTTTTACATGTATTCTAATCTGAATGACACTAAATATCATGAAAGTTATCCACATTTATGCGCCTTTTTAAAATCACGGTTCCGAACGTATAAAAACTCATACTTTAGAATAACTCATACATTTTAATAAGGCTTCAGACAAATAATGGAAGCGAAAAGCATAAGGAATTTAATTGGTTGTTATGAAACAATGCCTTAAATTTTTTTGTTTTTTATTCATATTATTGTACTTAATATGGAAAAATTCGCATAATTTTCAAAACTGTTTGATAACATACAATATTTTTTTCCTTGAAAGCATCTCCTTTTATATTATCTCGCTCTCTTCTGAATATTAAAAAATATTTTTCCTTTTTATTTTCCTTGTTAGAAACTAAAGGAGGAACAATTTAATAAATTGACTGAATCAATGCAACTACAGAACTATATGAGGGGCTAGAGGCAATGATAACTGTGTTTCTGTATCACGAGATGTAACAAGGAGTATAATTAAGGTTGTAGCTGCTCAATCTTTAAGGGGATGCCCAATTAACCTATTCATGTCCAAAATATTTCTTGTCAAAAAATATTATGCAAGTAATATAAAAATAATTTTTAAGTCAATTCCTACTTAGGTCAACAAATAATTATTTTATTTTAGTTACTTTTTATTAAGAGGGTTGGGCACATGCAATTTTGAAAAATTTTCGATTCTTATTTATTTATTAATTTATTTATTTACATTTCTTAAAAGTTCAAACATTTCTGCTTAAAATGATATATGATATATAGAAATGCGATAATTAGAAGTACTTTTATCTATTTTTTAAAAGTAAGCCACTCTCATTGACAAGTTACAAATTTTTATTTTAAAGCCTGTTTTCTCAAAATGCAATATTTTTCTCTCTATGGACCTTTTTTTCAAAAACTTATTAATGTAGGATCCTTAAAATGTTAGCGGGCATACTTTAAAAATGTTTATACATTTTAATGGAGGGAATAAGATATATTTAGCGAACTATTTTAGATAATGTACTCTTAAACTAAATATTCAGGAAAAATATTTGGCATTTTTTAAAAAAAATTCACAATTATTTAAATTTTTAACAAAAAGACAAAATCCTCCATTAAAGTCTTATTCATAGTACATATAACCTACTGGGAAAATGTCATCTATTAGTAGCGAGAAGTTTCCTATAAAAAGGTACATAAACTTACATAATTTAACATGGCTCCAATGGAAGTGCCGGACTCCCTTAAATAGTTACAATAATTATAAATATGTATATATACAAATGACAGAATCACAATATTAAGTGACAACATATAAAACAATTATCCTTGCAATTTCCATTTTCCTTACTATATATGGTGTTGGACTATTTTTTGATTGTTTATTTATATTTATTCATTAATTACATTTAATTATTCTAATGCCGAACAGCCAGTATGGTGGATATAACCCTCAGCTTGTAACCCAGTGATCTCGGATTTGAATCCCGAGTCAGACATGGTTATATCTTCTTCGGGAAAAGAAATCGGTCTTTCGCCTGTAATAGATTCCCGTCTCAAATGGAAATCAGCGCACCCCTTCTGTTATATGCTGGGATCAATCATTTGCAATAAATGTCTATATTCCTTTGTTGGTACTGTATATTTTTGTTCATCCACTTGTATTTTATATGTATCCCAGAAAAAAACACACCACCACAGCAACAATTGTTCTAATAAGTTAGTATAGTAAAAAATAAATCACATTCTCAGAAACTAGGCCCTCCCAAGGGCAATTCGAACTTACCACTTTTAATTAGAAACCCAACGCGCTATCCATTGCGCTACAGGGACACAATGGGCGATTTTTCTTTGTATGTATAGTGTTGGACTATTATTTTTGTTTGTTACTATTTGTTCCTTTTTTAATTTTATTAATCAATTAATATTTGGAAAACTGTATTAACATCAAGTGTCATCCACTTAACATCCTTTTAACTCGAATCTCATTAAACATTTCATATTTCTCGAAAAGTCAGTCTCTTTCTCTCATTATGATCCACTCTCGTTTCCCAACACTAAGTGTAGTTATGAATCATTTGAAGTTGAGGATCTCTGACGTTTTCTCTTTTCATTTCTTCATCAAACTGTCAATAAAACTTATCTCACGAGCATCCCAAAAACCCGACACCATGTCCTCGCCTGCGGATGTCATTGTCTGAGCCTTCTTTGGAGCCGGTTCTCCCCTTTCAGTTCATTGTCTTGATTCTTCTTTTGCCTCCATCCATGGTTATGAAACGGTGCAAAAATTCTGCTTTGTTGCTGTGAAACTTCTCTAATCACTCAATTGAAACACCACGACACTGTTTTTGCTCGTGTGAGCAAACGCGACATCAATCTTGCAAACAGTTTTCTTATGTCTAAATTTTCAGATAATATGCGATGTACCGCATTTTTTGAAATGCCTACTATGTTTGCTATCTTGCTCACTTTCAGTCGACCATCAACCAGTACCACCTTGTGGGTTTTTTTCACCAGTTCTGGAGTCATCACCTCACTTGGTCGACCATTATAATACTCGTCTTGGCAGCTAATACGGTCTCGTCTAAACTCTGCTACTTAATATTTTACTGTTGCAAACAAAGGAGCAGACTCTTCCAGTTCAGCTCTTATATTGGTTGGTCTGAGGTATTTCAAATAAAATTATTGTATCACATAACGATGATCAACTTTCTCCAATTTTTCAAATCCACTAAAAACGTTCACTATATACTGATGGCTGCGAAACAAATACTAAACAACGCGGTGTTTTCAAACTTGAAACATATGCTTTACAGCTTGCCTACTTTCTAATACAATAATATTTTCTAACAACTACCGCCATCTCTCGGTCAGACTGGGTACTTCTGAGACCACCCTTGTACATGTTCTGTTAGAGATTTTTCATTGGAGGCGGTTTAGTGATCTAATCTAGGGTGGCACATTTTTCAATTTTGCCATGAGTCTGTAAAGAAGGGAAATCTTAGAATTAAATAAGAGTCGCTCTCGGACCCCCTATTAAAGCGAAGGGAACTGTCGGAGTACACGGATCACAGCTTAAGACCTAATGTATGGAGCTTAGAAGAGTAGTAATTTAAAAAAAAATTATTTCAATATTTAACATTACAATAAAAAGGATGAAATTTGATAAAATTGAAAAGCACTTAATTTTGGTTAAAAGTTTTTAAAGTCAAAAATACACATTTTTTTTTAAGTGAAACTTTTTTGGGTTCGAGAGTGAATGAGAAAACTGCCCAATTTTGCGCAACAGTGAAAAGCGAATGGAAGCAGTCTTTCCCGCATCCCTCCGAATCATCGCCATGGTAAGGAGAGAGCCAGAGGAGGAAAAGGGGGAGTGGGGACACCACGTGACTTGTGTCATATCGGTGAAAAAGTTGAATGATTGCCCACGTCTCCGACTGGTCAACTTGCCCACCTTCCGATTAGGGGTCCTTTTCCTAGACCTCGGAACATTATCAGCAGTCGTATCAGTTGTAGTGTGAGCATTACGGTGTAGACCAGGGATGGCGAGTTACTGGCACGCGCGCCATTGATGGCACGTGGCACAATATTTTGTGCACACCACCTATCAAAATGGTTTGGATTTTAAATCAAAATAATAAAGTTCAGTATGAAGTATTACGAACAACGCGAGTAATCGAAAGCAGTTTTCAGCGAGATTTTTTCTCAGTTCAACGAATTATGGGAAACGTTCAAAGTTTTTTTATGTACCCTGATTGATTTCATTTAATAAACTTAACTTGTCCCTATTCAATTGATTCGAAAATAAAAATTCTGAAATGCAACTGATTAATTTCTAGTCCAGTTTTATATGGATTCAAAAATTTGTTGAAAAAAGGAGAAAGTTGGAATTGATTGAAACAGAAAAATTAACAAGCAACATAAGTAAAAATGCTAATAATGAAATTTCTGAAACATGGGATTCGATACCAGACACATTTAACTGTTCGAAGAAAAAAAAGCCGGATTATCTATTTTAACCATATTTTCATCTACCCACGCCTACTAGCCATTATTTTCAGGGGTGAGTAGCATTAAAACCTCGCTTAGAAACTGACAGACTACTCCAATTCAGCAAGCATTCTGCTAGAAGTAACATCTTACAATCCTAATA